GCTTATAATAAAAGTGGCAAAATGTTTTCACTAATTATTTGTTGGGGGATCTGCCCGACAACCCAGGCATTCATTCTGCCAATCACGACGATCCTTGTCATGTGATCGGTTGTTAGGCAGCCCACCCGATTGTGTTAAAGGGACACAATTGTCACCCAGACCACTTCAGCTTATTGAAGTGGTCTGGCTGCAGTGTCCCTGTCCCACATAATCCTGCAATGTAAAGCATTGCAGGTTTAAAGAAGCTGCATTGATTACAATGTAGGACTAAGAATACCTAGAGGCAATTCCTGGTGGCTGACCGCTTTTTGGTTGCCTAACTGACGCTGGTCGTCTTCATGCCCTGCATGGGAACATTCAGTGTTAGTAAAATCCCCATATGGAGGCACTGAAGCAATGCTTATTGGAAGGGACTAATGGGCTTGCCGCTCATGCGCATTAGCCCTCTCCACATAGAATCCCTTTAAGGGTTTAAAGAGCTCAGACGAGTCCAAAGCTTATCATGGGGAAGCATTGAGGACATACGGCATATGAACACCAATGGCTGCACTCCGCCAATTAGATGCTTCTCGGAGAAGCAAATCTATGACAAACATCAGCAACATTTCGGACGTCATGCTGTGAGTGATGACGCCAAAGATGAAGAACATACAGAGGAATCTCTTCTAAGTAGAGGCATGTTCTCTGACAAATGTAAACATTGCCAGTTCTCTGAAACACCAATGTTTTACATTTCAACAGAAAAACAGAGGGGTCTCTGCATCAAAACCATTCTACTTAGACATAGTAGTTTTGCTGTTAATAATGTCTCTTTAATGTTCTCTTTTACTTGTGACCTAACGAGTTCCTTCATTTGCTCCATTCACTGTGATCAAAGTGTTATTATCACATAATAGATCCTTATTACACACAATTCTAATATTTATTATATTGATAAAAACCTGCATCCTTTTGTGCCACTTTATATTTTCTCCTTTGGATTGTAAGCTCACTGGGTGTCTCGCTGTGAACTTTATTTAAAAAAGTTTAGGCTCACAAACAGGGGTCTCATTTTCTGTTATAATCTTTTATCTGATTATATAATATATTAATTTAACCCCTGCCTGTTGTCAATTCAGATTGCTCTAGAACACATTGGCTCTATATAAAAAAAGCAATAATTATGATAGAAATAATAATAATATTTTACGGTTTGAAGGTTGTGACGTGCATGAATTTCAATGGGTGCATGTAACATGTATCTATATAACTGAGAATTAATTTTTTAAAAACTTGGGTTGTTTTTCATTTTGTTTAACAGACTCAAAGTTATACTACAACTAGAAGATTAAAGACTTTATGGCTTTTGGCTAGAATGTGGACAAACTTAAAGTTTCTAATCTAGATGAAAGGAAAATACACAGATGTTTGAGGTTCTCGACAGAACCAAACTTTGTCAGTTTTTTTTTATTCATTAGTGTCTATTAAAGGGACACTGTAGTCACTATAAGCATTTCATCTCTTTGAATTGGTTATAGTGCCTGGAGTGCCCTGGCACTGTCCCTCCATTCAGTGTTGCACCATGTTCGTGCAGTATGCCACAAAATAAGAGTCCCTGGCCACCCACAGTCCGGCCCCTTTAGTATGTGTAGCTAAGGCAGAGATTACACACTTCCTTGTTGTCATACCCATTCATACCGTCAGTTGGAACTCTGACAGGCTAAAAGCAGTCAGCTGACACTCTCAGCCAATCACAGCTGCCTATTGCTGCTCAGGCTAATACTTCCTTATTAGCCAAAGCAGCACAGAAGGGATGGATTGTTGGGGACTCTTGTTTAGCATTAAAACATTAAAAGTTTAAAAACTGTTTAATGCTGAAAGAAATGATGGTACCAGAGGACTCCAGACACTATAACCAGTTTAATGATATGAAGCAGATACAGTGCCTACGGTGTCCCTTTAACTAAGGGGTTTCATTAGTTACTATACAGTAAAAAGCAAAACGTAGGCAAATATTTATTAATAATATTAACAGCCACTGTGGACAGGACTGTGTGTTGAATTATATCAGATAATGTTACATTATGTTCCAAATACAAGATTTAAAAAATCTTATGTAAAATGTTTGATTTAAATATGATTACAACATTTTAAATATGTTAGCACAAACCAGGGAAACTTTTATGCTTTAGTGAAAAATGTCAAGTTTTTTATTTCATTTTTAATGTCTGTATAATCAGGGGTATATACAACATTTTAGCATTTTATTTATCCTCTGCTTGTAATGTCATTCACGAAAACTCTGTCACCCACAAAACACATGAGTGACAGGATTATTATTATTATTTTATTATTTATACAGTGCCATCAGATTCGGTAGCGCTGTACAAAGGGATCAAACTAGCTTGATGGTGGTGATTGAAATTGGAGCACTATCAACTGAGCCATCTCACTAGTATAAATACATTTAAGGACTTATTCATTAAACACGGAAGTGTAGTACATTAGAGACTGAATTGCAAAATTCAGACAAAATTAGGCAAGCTATCAGTAGTAGAAAGAGGATCCAGGCACTCCAAGTATGTTAAACTGTGTTTATTGGGACAAGTGAGGCACCGCAGCGTTTCTACCCCTGAAAGGGTATTTGTCTTTGACTTAACAAAGAACCTTTCAGGGGTTGAAATGTTGCTGTGTCACACTTGTCCCAATAAATGGGGAGTGAATGGATCCTCTTTCTACCACTGATATCTACTCCCTATGGCTGGTGCTGGCCCTTGGTCCTTCACGTGATTGGAGTGGGGTTCATTTTTTCTCTTTTTGCAAAAATAGCCAAACTGTGACATAAGCAGAGTTGGAGAATTTTCACAAATCATCCATTTTCGTCAAAATTTAGCAATTCAAGGAAATCTGGTCGCATGCAGAGTCACACCCCCCAAATTGTGTGGACAACATTCTACAATACCTAACATTTAATGTATCAGGCAAACATGGCCAAACTGAAAATGTAGCTCACTTGGAAAGTTGTCCCCATTTGGTTAATTTGTCATTGGGGCCTGTGCTGGGTATATGGATTTTGTGGTCGACTAATCTGACTTGTTGTATTGCGGATAATTCTGAAAGTGGCTAATGTTTGCGTACTGCCAGGTTTCCTTTTTCAATTTTCCAATTTTTTGGAAATTCTGTTGGAAATAAAATCATCAATCAAATTCTTCTCTGGACTATTAAAGGGGATTTTTACATCTAAGAAATAGAGCTGACTGGGGTTATTCAGTAAAGTAGGCAGAAATGCTAGATCATTTGCAAGGGGGTTACAAATAGCAAGCCAAAATAGCCACATTTTAAAAAGTCTACATTTTTCAACTTCAGCAATTTCCTCCCCAAAATGTATAATTTCTCTACAATTCATAGTTTAGTGAATAAACTGCACTATAGCACTGCCCAGCCCATGACGATTTGCTTTTAATATTAGGCTATGTTCCAAAAGATTGCAGGTTAATGAATTTTATAATAACATTTGATTGTCTAAAAAGATGATCCTAAAATTGTGAAATGTCTTTAATAAATTGTGTACTTTTTAAATAAACATACCTAATCTGTATAGGAGTAATTCTCAGCGTTTAACACACTGCTCCTGGAAAATTCACCAAACGGTGAGTTTTGGTGACTTGTCGGACTAGGTGATCAGTCGAGGTTCTCTAACAGTTCTGTTAACCCTTTGCAGACCAGCCCAGCTGATAACTCAATGCAACTTGCTATTTAGTGAATAAATGCAGAGGCATCATGATCCTCTAACTTACATGCTGATGGCTCTGTTTGTATTTTTGCATTCTTTGCCATCATCTGGTTGATAAAAAAATGTTTGTGAACATGTTTAAAATATAACTCAGGGCTTGTAGAATATTCATTCAGGAATAAACCTCTATCAATGGGCTATGGGATGTTTTTCACATCACTTTTTGTTATTCTTTTTGACTGTTAAACTACGAGGCGCATTTTTCTAAACCATGAATTGTGGTAAATTGATGAAGGAATTGCAAAAATCATTGGACAAAGTAGTCAAATGTGAAGTATCTTCCAAATCATCTGTTTTACCATCTCACCTGCTACTGCCGAAAAAGTCCATAGTCAGTTCTCCACAATTCCTTGTTTAGTTAATAAACCTCAACATGTTTACTCTTCTAATACGTAGATCATTTTTGAAGAAGCACAATGCAAAACAACAGATAGTTCATTTTTTGACACACAAACAGTTATAATTCTATGTCAGAAAAACATGCTACAGTTTCAGGATACAAATGAAATAAATTAGAAAAATAACAATCATTTTAAACGTGTGGGTTATTTAGTAAGAATCAAAGGCAACATGTGTTAAAACACATGGATTGGTCGGGGGGCTGTAGTTGGTAAACCTGGTAAAAGCAGTGGGCTGGTAGTTATTTGACCCATTGCAAGCTAGTGAAGTGAGTCCACATGCACTTTAAATGGTTAAATGACATATTTTAAACATTGACACATTTTAAGAATGTCGCTTACAAGTCGGGTTTCCCTTTAAATATTAACATAGATGACCCAGTCCAGTATCTCTTATTTCACTATAATATCCTTTTTTTATGGGTTAATGGGAGAATTTTTCTTTGTATTGGAGCATTTTTTTCCTTTAATTTTCCGTACGCAATATTTCTCAATAAATAAACTTTGAGGAGATTTTTCAATTAAAAAACAAGTGCTAATCTGGGGCAAAGTGCTGAATAAGGAGCAATCACCATGGAAATGAATAAAATGTGGCTTAACATTTAGCACTTTGCTCCTAGTGTAGCACCTGATTTGCCATGGTAAATCTCTCGTTATGACCCTGTATACCTATATATTTTTATTTATACTTACAGGCCTAGTGATGTCCCGAACGGTTCGCCGAACGGTTCGCCACGGATGGCGAACATATGCGCTGTTCAGTCCGCCCCCTATTCGTCATCATTGATTAAACTTTGACCCTGTACCTCACAGTCAGCAGACACATTCCAGCCAATCAGCAGCAGACCCTCCCTCCCAGACCCTTCCACCTCCTGGACAGCTCACTAAGAATGCAGCTTCACAATGAATGTAAAATGGATGCTGTCCAGGAGGTGGGAGGGTCTGGGAGGGAGGGTCTGCTACTGATTGGATGGAATGTGTCTGCTGACTGTGAGGTACAAGGTCAAAGTTTACTCAATGATGACATAGGGGGCAGACCGAACAGCGCATATGTTCGCCGTCCGTGGTGAACAATTCGGCGAACCGTTCGGGACATCACTACTTACAGCCCTTACTATGGTGTTAATTTACTAAACTGTGAATTGCAGTGAAAGTAAACCTGAATTTCAACATTAAGGCCAAAAGTGCTGATTTGGAAAAATTCCCCAACTTGGCTATAGTTATAGCTTGGCTATTTAGAATGAATTCATGCAATTTAGTTCAATTCACTACAACTTAACAAATAAGCTGTTCAGAGTTTAGGTATACAGATATTATATTATGGGGTTTGGTAATTTTGGAGAGATTTATGGTCACTTTACTGTACAGCTTGCAATATATATATAGTAGGATTAGTTTACAAAATAGGCATATTCTGAGTGACAATTTTTACAAAGAGAAAACAACACATCTTTTAGTTTTTTACTTGGTAAATTGCAGTGTCTACAATAAGTTCTTAACTTCGGAATGTTGAGAAGCAATGCACAAATTGTAAAATAGTGCCTTCATATTTCTAAATACCAGTGATATGCAATTCTTGGCATTCCAGATATCTGTGAACTATGTTTCGCACAATGCTCTGCCAGCGTTCGGTCAGCCTGCACATGATGGGATTTGCATTACACAACACCTGGGCTGCTAAGCTAAGTGATTGGTGATGGGAGCTCATTCATAGGGGCTGGCGGGACAGCACACCAATGATTTTTGGTGCAATAAAAACACGTTTTCTTAAATATTTTGGAATGCCAAGCTTTGTTATCACTGCAATATGCTGTATGGTAACTGCCAGCCAATTAAAAATGAATGACGTATTTTTACATCTATGAAATGGCAAGTCTACTAGACGTGCTAACTATGAAATGACAAGTCTAACTGTGCTATGTAAAACAAGGCAAATTTTTTTTTAGAAACTGCGCTGTTTACACTGCAGCGTTAAATCCACCTATAGTGGTTTCCTAATGCTCACGTGACACGTAAGTTCATAGAAAAGCATTGCGCATTCACATTATGGCCCCAGTGCTCCTTGTTGGATTGGGCCATTGAGGAGTAGGTCATAATTCTACAATGACGTTGCAGGAGGCATGGAGGTGAGCAATGCCGAGGTAGCCTCTGCACTGGAAAAAGATAAGTAACATTTGTATTAATTTTAATCGCACACGAGTGGGGGAGGCCTTTATATAACTAGGGACAGAGGAACTATAGCATTATAATACAGGTTTGAATTCCTAATGCTATAGTGTTCCTTTAAGTATTCACTACAAACTGTTGAGATATACAGAAAAATGTATTTACCTAAATTTATAAAAGAGTAAACAATTTTCAAAACATAATTCTGCCACTAGCCGTTCTGTATGCTGGTCCACGTTCCCTCACCTTCCTGATTGTTTTCCCTTCCACATTATGGCTATCTCCCCCACCCCACCCCCAGCAGTCACAATATATATCTATACTATATATATATATATATATATATATATATACTTTTTTATTTTACAATCTATTTTATGAAGTCCAACTTATGTTATGTTCTTTTTTAGGTTCACTCACTATGCTAGATTTTGGCACAATCCGACCTATATATAAACATACAGACACTGTGTACCCTTGTGTCTGTTAGTAGATGAAGTCCAACTTATGTTATGTTCTTTTTTAGGTTCACTCACTATGCTAGATTTTGGCACAATCCGACCTATATATAAACATACAGACACTGTGTACCCTTGTGTCTGTTAGTAGGTGATAGCTTGGTTTATCTGTCAACTGATGGACAACAATAATCATGGTGTCAATATGGTCTCAATAAAGTCTCCAGGTAGATACTAAAGTATTGGCATAAAATTGTGTCTACAAAAGCTCTACTTAGTTAGACTTCTAGTTCACTATTGCATTGTCCGACAATTACATTTGGGACTTAATAGGTTACTTCTTTCTACTTCCTCATTTATACTGTTACGATACATTACGACACATGTTTGTTATCAACCATTCACTGTTTTACAACCCACACCCCGTGATATATGCAATTATGTCATGATATATGTAACTGATCCTCAAACTAGTGAATTTAAGCAGGCCAATTTCTGGGGGGAGGGAGTTGTTAACAAGAGAATTGGACATTTAAGGCCAACACAAGTCAGGGGAAAAGAACAACAGAATTAGAGAATGTTGTGATTTTTTCCCCACTTTAACTTAAATAATCTAATTGGAAATGGATTGGTAAATGAATTATTTTTGAATGGTGTGTGTGTATTGTGATATGTAAAAAAATTAGGCCAAAAGCTGGATTGGTGAACCTTCTCCAGACTATATTATTATTATTATTTTATTATTTATATAGCGCCAACAAGTTCCGTAGTAAACCTAAACTTTGTAACGTGATTTCCAACTCAATGCAACTCATTTAGGTTTCACCACTAAATTGAGATATGTGGAGATCTGACAAGGGAACTGCAAAATGTAAGCCTAAATTGTCCAAATAAATAGCTATTTTTATCTGACTTTGTCGACTCCTTATAGTGAATAAACCCCAGTTGTTTAGTGAATCCTCACAATAAATATATTGTAATTGTGTGGGTATCTCGGGGTATCTACGTTCCAAGCAAGATAGATTTGAATGTCTCAGTTTTAATGACCACATCGATTGCCATCGGGGTGTGTTCTGCATTACACACCCATCAGGTACTCAAAGATTCATTAAGAACAGTGCGATGCTACCTGAACTGCCATGCCAATAGGTTGGTGAACTAGATAGAACAAAACTGGCATAAAACTATATGTGACATTGTGCTGAGCCCTGCCTTGCCAGACACGGTAATTTCAATGCCTGCTTTTGCAAGAGAGGAGTCAAAGTGGCCCTCAATCTCAGTCTGCTCCCAAGAAACCTCTGTAACACAGAATGTAGCTGATAGCTATATATTGTTCCTAAATTTAAAGTCTCACAAAGTGGAACATTACACTTTAATTATTTCTGATTTCTCTTGAAATGTAAAGGGTTACTTCAAACCCCATGAACACTTCCTTTGTTTGAAGAGGTCAGAGTGCCAGGAGTGTGTATGTGCAGAATTTCGTGATGATAGCTGCACATACAGAGTTTAACCCCTCTGTTGTTGGAGGTGTAACGCCACCTCCGGCTGTGCCATTGGGACGTCATTAGCCAACCCGGAACAAGTGTTCCCCCTTTGCCAGGGGCAGTGACGTTAGTCTTGGGCTGCTAAAATAATCTAAAATAGTTAAGTATAAAATAACCTCACACTCAGCCTAATTAAACATTTTTTTTTAAACTAATTACTTTTGACTTAAAAATTGTAAGTCAGCCCGCCTTGGCAAGGGGGAGTGACATTAGTTTTGTAGGATTGGGCTGCTAAAATAACCTAAACTAGTTAAGTATGAAAAAACCTCATACTCGGCCTAATTGAGCATTTGTTTTTTCAGCTGGTTACTTTTGACTTAAAAAGTCAGCTATCAAGACACCGCAACACACTGTTTAGGGAATAAATTCCACAGTTTCTCCCATATATATTAACCCCTCAAGGACCACAATTATTTGCCGGACCCCAATGATCATCAAGACATTTTCTGCTTATTTATCATCTCTATACGGTCCTCCTGTCATTAAAAGAGTGAGGCATTCCATTTAAGAACGTCAAATACAAGATAGTTATAGAGGTGCAGACCCGCATCACATAGATCTTTAAAGGGTTAAACTGTACAGGGCCTTAACTGTTCTATAGCTATATAGCCTCATTGTCCTATACAAACATTTACATCCTATACATCCTTAGAAACGTATAAAGACCACTACATCAGCTAATTAAAAATAATGCCCCAACAGTCTTAACTATTTAGTCTCCATTTGGAGACAATAATTCTGAGAAGAACATATTTATCAAGAAAACAAGAGTGATTCTGTGGCAACATGTTACATGTATGAGACACATTCTTCATGAATTTATTTGGTGAGAGCTTCTTACGTAGCAGTTTAGACCTCGACATGACCTGTTGTTGCCTTGATTAATATGGCTCAAAATACTTATTAAATTTTTTTTCACTAACAGCAAAAATGCACCTCGTCCTATCACAGATCATCTCTTGCTCATACAACTATTATGTCATAAGAAACGCTCCATTTAATGACACTACAACATTGTGAACCAGTCCTTTTCAAGCCATTTCACCCCTTCCAAAAATTTATGTCATAGCAGACAAAATAATGATTATATATATATACACAGGTCTGTGTGACCCCGAATCAGGTATGCAAGACTGAGAATTATATTTAACCCTAATGTATTTTAATACAAGGATGAGAGAGCAATTTTACAGCTGGCAAAGCATCATGGGAGTTGTAGTTTTGCAATACCTATTAGGCCATAGCAATCGAAAGAAGACTAGCAGAGGAACAGATAGGCACTCTTCTCCAAAAAAGGTTAATTCAGACGGCTATGTACTCCCTGGGTCTATTCGAACCTTGTTGTTTTAACGTGTGAATGGGGTCGTTATATCTCACCTTTAGGAGCCTCAATGCTTGTATTCTGTTTAGTAGATAGAGAAGGACATCTAAACCTAAAATATAAATAATGCAGAGAATATAATCACACGTTAAACTGATACACAGAAGTATATATACATTACAGTAGTAGCAATGCTGGTGCAAAATTCTAAAACTTGAGCAATTGCCATGGAAACCAATAGAATATTCTAGCCTATTGCTCCAATTTTAGAACTTTGCCCCATACGTGACTGTGAAATATTATATTTATGCACCAGCTTATTCCCTTCGTCACATTGTAATATATAGGAGGGAAGGGGATGAGGGAGGAATTGATACATTATCTAATACCTACAATGTACAAAGGGATCTAACTAGCATGAGTACCACAATGATATAATGCCAATTATATAAGCAAGAAGCCTAAATGCATCACTACATAC